GCTGCACTCGAATGTCCTTTGTGGTGGTTGTCCAGGTTGCTATTGAAGTTGCTCATGTGTTGATGTTTGAAAACCAGTACGATTCATGTGTTCTGTGCCTTTATGACTTGTCCCCAATGTTGGTTGATCGAAATATGTGAGCTTACCTTGTGTCTGACTTGGTTTGCTTGGGGACAAGCAAACAGTTAAGTGTGGGGGAGTTTGATAAGCCGTTAATTGCACATGTTTTTACCTCTATTCTGGAGCTGTTTGGGATGGTAATTCTCGTGTTTTAGGCCTATTTTACGCTAGGTTGTGTTCCTTTGTCACATTTCAGGCCCTAGCACATAAAGTGAAGCGTAGGCGCAAGTTTCAAGTCAATCGGAGATCATTTGGCAATTCGGGAGAAGAAACACGAGCATGACCTGAGGAAAAATGGATTTACACCTCATCTTATGGACAAATGATCATGGAATCTTGTCATGAAAAGATAGAGGACGAGACTACGAGCGTCTGGGTTCAAACGGCGACTGATTTGGAGTCCGGACGAGGGAGAAACGAAGCTTTGAACATGGGCGGAGGAAGAATTACGGGCAGGAGAATTACGACCGTAATTTTCCCTCCCATGCCCGTATTTTCACTGCCGAGAGGAGGTTTGGATGCGCTGAAACTTAACCAAAACGCGTGTTTTGGGCAAAATACGGGCATGGAAGAATTACGACCGTAATTCAGCCCGTAATTCGTCCAGAATCGGGTTTTTTAGGCCAATTTCGAGCCAAGGGAGAAAGAGAGCTGGGTTTTTGGATCCCAAACACCCAAGGGACGAACCCTAGAGAGAGAGAGCGACTTGGGAACATTCTTGGAACTATTTTGGAGGATTTCTTCGCCATTGGAGCTCGGGAATCAAGCTTGGAGATGGAGATTGAAGATCTAGATCAGATTTCTGCAGTCTCTCTCTTCTCTATGGAGTAACTTCCCTTCACTTAGGTTTTGAGGAACCTTAGTTCCATGAGTTAGGATCTTTCTTGTATGAAGTTTTGGATGCTATATTGTTTGATTATAATCGAATGATGCATGTTTATTGAGTCAATTGAAGTCTGATCAACTTTTCCTGATTCCTGCTGCAATCTGAGATAGATAGAATCTGATTAGGTTGCTAGAGTCTCATCATTCGGTAGTAGGAGATTGGCTATACGAGAGTTAGCCAGTTTACTGCTTTGTACTGGAATCCAATTCCAGTAGTGGAGTTCTGTGCTTATTGCTTCAACTTTCTATCCCGGTGAAGACTAGTCGTCTGCCGGATAGTTAGACTGAGAGGGCTTGGTCAGCTTAAGAGATTCCAAGCTACTGTCGGATCTTCCGCAGTTTAATCAACAGTAAATCAACCAAAAGGAATTACAACTTGGACCTAATTGAGGAGCTAGGGGGAATCATACCTAAGTGAGTTCCCAAACTGTAATTAGTAGTTTTACTTAGTTTAGTTAGTAGAGTAGTTTAGTTAATCAATCCTTAATCTAGTTTGCTAGATAATGAACTGAAGCTGAGTAATAGTAACTCTAGAGACCCGTGGATTCGATATTTATTACTTGTGCCACTATACTGCAGTCCCTTTCATTGGTTACACTTAGCCATTGTTAGGTGTTGTGTTTTAGAGCACCACTTGGGTACCACCTGGGTGGGACTGACCCACTCGCTATCGGAAATGGCGAAGATGATCCCCGCGTCCAGCAGCTTCACGATCTCTGCCCGAACCACAGCCTCCAGGTTCCGTGTCAGTCTCCTCTGCGGCTGTCTCACTGGCCGCATCTCATCCTCCATCAGTATCCGATGGGAGCAGAAAGAAGGGCTGATCCCCCGGATGTCTGTGATCTTCCATGCGAGAGCTCGCTCGTACCGCTTCAGCAAGGTCACCAGTCTGGTCTTCTGCTCGGGTGTGAGGGTCGAGCTGATGATGACTGGCAGCTTATTCCCCTCCCGGAGAAATGCATACTCCAAATGAGGAGGGAGGGGCTTAAGCTCCAGCTCTGGTGGTTCCTCCAAGGAAGTAGCGATGCAGGTGGAGGATGAGATCGGTTTGAACAGCCTGTCGCCCTCCAAGAAGGGGACACTCTCCAACTCGGCCAACTGCTCCGCCAGCTGCGGCTCCTGCGATGCCTGCTCACCTAGCAAAATACAACGCTCAAGAACATCGTCAGTACCCGCACTCGTTATAGCGAGTACGGTCTCAAAATCAGCAAGCATATCACAGTAATCTATGTCATCATGCAAATGAGAGTGTTTCCCATTCTCAGACACAGAAAAGGTAGCCTGTTCATCACCGGCACGCAGAATCAATTTACCACTATGCACATCAATAAGCGCCTTGGCGGTGGCGAGAAACGGTCTACCTAAAATCAAAGGTACATCCACATCCTCATTTATATCCAAAATAACAAAGTCAACAGGATATGTGAATGCACCCACATTAACAAGCAAGTCCTCAATGATACCCCTAGGATGCACGATAGAACGATCAGCTAACTGAATGCTCATCCTAGTAGTTCTAGGTTCACCTAGGCCTAGCTTCTTAAACAAATTATAAGGCATGACATTTATGCTAGCGCCTAGGTCCGCCAAGGACTTTCCTACATGCATGCTGCCAATAACAAGAGGGATAGTGAAACTCCCTGGGTCTTTTCGCTTCTCCGGCAGCTTGTTATGCAGGATGGCAGAACACTCCTCGCTCATTATCACTGTCGAAAGATCCCCAAGTTTCTTCTTGTTGGTGAGGAGGTCCTTCATGAATTTGGCATACTTGGGCATCTTTGACAGTGCCTCCACGAACGGCATGCTGATGTTGACCTGCTTCAACATTGCCATGAACTTGGCAAACTCAGTCTGTAGCTTGTCTTTATGCAGGCGAGTGGGGAAAGGAAGCTGAGGTACATGCTCCTTAACCACTGGCTGTGGCTTGGGAGCAGGCGTTGTTGTGTCTTCCCCCACTTCTGCAGTATCAGCTGGAAGTGTTGAAGCAGGTAGTGGCTCATCTCGACTGGGCTGGGCAGGAGCAGCTAATGTGGTCTTGCCACTCCTGGTAGTGATGGCATCAAGCTGTTGGAGCTGGTTAGATTCACGAGGATTCTGAACAGTGGTGGCAGGCCAAGTCCCCGGTGCCCTGGTGGTGTTCTGGCGGGCCAAGATACCCACCTGGTACTGCAGATCTTGCAAGATGGCACCCTGGTTCCTCTGACCTGCCTCCAGTGACGTGATAGCTGCCTGAGTGCTAGTCATGAACGAAGCTAGAATATTTTCCAGCTTTGTCATCTGAGTATCTGGAACTGGGGCTGCTGCTGGCTCGGCAAACTGGCGCTGGGGCTGCTTTAATGGTTGCCCCTGCCTAGGGTGGTAGGGCTGCTGCTGTGGAACTGGGCCCTGTCGAGCCTGGAAGGGCTGCCTATGCTGAAAGCCACCAGCTGGTGCTGGGAAACCAGGTGGCTTAGTGGTGCTGCTGCCCCAAGAGTAGTTGGGTGCTGGCGCCACCCCTCATTATATGTGTGGCTGTACGGGTCGAGGCGCCGAGCATTGGCGATGAAGTCCAACTGCTCTTGGGGAGTAGTAGACTCCCTCATAGCCTGGCAGTCTTCCACTAAGTGATTTGAGCTCTCACACCACTGACACTGAGCAACTGGAGGTGTAGCCAAACCTCTGCCCGGAATAAGACTGTTGGGCTGCTTCAATGTCTGCACTAGCTCAGCTACCTGCTGCTCGAGCCCGGATCTGGTCTCCATGGCGTGCACACCACGATTCCGGGAATGTCTGCCTCGGCTACCCTGTCCCCAAGAATGATCTCTGGCAGCCAAAGTACTGATCATCTGGTTCAGCTCGGGTGGAGTCTTAGTAAGAATATCCCCTCCTGGGCATAGAGACTCAATCACCCTCTGGCTATCTGGAGAGAGGGCACTGTAGAAGTTCCCCACTGTGAATGCATCACTGAAGCCATGATGGGGACACTGCCAGAAATAGCCCATGTACCGCTACCAAGCATCACGAAGTGACTCATCTGGCTCTTGGCGGAAGTGAGTGATCTCCCGCTGGATCTCTGTAGTCTTCGATGCCGGATAGTACCTGTGCACGAACTTTTCAGCCAGATCGTCCCAAGAAGTGATGGACAATGGGGGCTGGGTCTCCAACCACCTCTTAGCATTCCTCGCCAGAGAATGGGGGAAGAGATGAAGGCGGATTGCATCATCCGGGACACCATTCAGCTTGAACCTGTTCGTCAGCTGCAGAAAACGGGAAAGATGTACCCTGGCCTCCTCATCCTTCAAGCCATGGAACTGGATAGAGGATGTAATGAGCTGAATCCAACATGGCTTGATCTCGAAGTTGTTTGCTGGAATAGGCGGGTAGAGGATGACCGGGCGGATGTCAGCAATCCGCGGAGTGTAGTAGTACTCCAAGGTGGGACCCGGCGGCGGGTGATGATGATGAACCCCATGATCCTGGGGTATGGGGTTGTTCCCCAGGACCTGATTCACCGGGGGAGCCTGCTGAGGATTCCCCTGGTGTTGATTGTAATCTTCCATCTCGTACTCCTCCTCAGAATCACTGCTCACGTGGCCGTCTATGGGCTCTTCCGTAGCCAGTCTAGCCTGCTGTTGTCTCCTGAGTTGGCGACAGGTGCGTTCAATCTCTGGATTCAATGGCAGTAAACCTCCCGACTGGCTACGGGTCATGCACTACCTGCACACAATCAAGCAAGCAAACCCGTGAAGGCACAAGTGGGACAAAGCAGACAAAGCAAAAAGAAAAGCTAAATTAACAGAAATCACTTTTCTTCAACAACCTAGCCGTCCCCGGCAACGGCGCCAAAAACTTGACTCACTTCTACTGTCACCCTAGGAATTGGTTAAGTGAAACCACTTCCTAAAGCGTAGTATAGCGGGTTTAGGTTTAATTATCAACCCGGGTCCTAGATTTGATGACTACTCAGTGAATTCTTGTTATCTAGCAATGAAACTGGAATGCAAGTCAACAAACAAAGCAAACAAACGATTGTATTCAAGTTAAGGAGGTCACCCAGATATGGTTCCCCCTAGACTGCAGTTAAGCCGGATTTTAATTACCAAGTTCAGTTTCTATGATAGTTATACTGCGGAAGGTTCTTAAACAGCCTGAAGTCTCGACTAAAGGTATTCAGACCCTCTCAATCTGAGTCTCTAGCGGGCGACTAACCTCCACCGGAGTAAACAGATTGAGTCCTTAACAAACAAAACCTCCACTACCGGAGTAAATCCGGTACAGAATAGTGAGTTGGCTCCTCGACTAAAGTCACCAACTCCCTACCTTCGATCAAGGATGCTCTATCAACCTAGGCAGATATTCTCATTCTAGGTTAAAGCAGAAACAACAGGAATTTGATCAGGATTCAAGTCATTCAATCATTCAAACCTCAATCGAATATAATCAATCATAGAATCAGTATTTGGGTTCATACAATCAAAGCCTAACATACAAATCTAGGGTTCTCCATACCCAGATGAATGGGAGAACTACTCCATGGAGAAAAAAGCAAAAGCAGAATCAGACGCGGAATTCATACTGTGAAGGATGGATTCCTGCTTCTGGACGTTGATCGGCACTTCTCCAAGCTCAAACTGGCCTCCAATAGTGTTGAAGATCAATCTAGGGCACTTGGAGACTCTTGTTCGTCGCTTTCTCTCTCTAGGAATCGTTCTCTCTCTCAAAAACTCGAATCCACTCGACTTGTGGCTGAAAATCTGCTTAAAAGCAGAAAGTCCCGACTCACACGGCCAGGGTGGCACAGCCGTGTGGCTTACCCAGTTGCCCGTGTGAGTCAAAACGCTGCGTTCCAATTAGTTCGATCTTCAGGCTTCTCACACGGCCAGGGTCGCACGGCCGTGTGAGATTTCCATCTGCCCGTGTTTGCTCTCGGCGAAACTTGCACGGCCAAACCACTCCTTCACACGGCCGTGTGAACATCAGGGCAAGCCGTGTTTGCTCTCGCACAATCTCACACGGCCAAAGTGGTCACTTGCACGGCCGTGTGAGTTGTGGGTGTGCCCGTGTGACCTCCTTTGTTACTTGTCTCGCGCCCGATCTTCGCCCAATCGACCCCGAACTCGCTCCTAAACCTTCATTCACTTGCCAGGACCTGAAATATCACAAACAAGCACAACCTAGCGTGAAATTGGTCTAAAACACGAGAAACCACATCTCAAACGGTGTAAGAACAGGGGTGAAAACATGTGTAATTAACGGTCTATCAAACAACAACATTAAAATCGCCCATAATGGCCATTGGGGCGTTAACCTCTTGCTGGAGTAAAAGCTCCTCATACAGCACAGCCCTATAAGCTTCTTCGTTTGGACTATAAACCACTAATAGGAGGAAAGGGATAGGACCTCCAACTCTGACCTTAATAAAATGCTGCCCATCTTCAACCTTCACTACATCCAGGCCATCTTTCCAGAGCAACCAGATACGTCCATTAGCGGACTTAGGGTAGTTATTCAAATGCTTAAACTGACTAAATTTCTTGGAGAGAATATCAGAACTATTTGAGGCAATAACTCTAGTTTCTATTAATGCTACTATATCTAACTTCAACTTCCAAAACTTCTTTAGCATAGCAGTGTGCTTATCCCGGGGATTAAACCCCCTGATGTTCCAACACAGTACCTTCATTTACCCCGTTTCTTCCCCCTACCCTTTCCCCGAGCAGGAGCAATAGGTGGAGGTTCCACATGACGCTTCAAAACAGGTCGACTTAATGAAGGGAATGCCTGATCATCAAGTGGACTCTTACTCGAACCAGCTGACAAAATCCATGGACTTCTAGATATAGGACCCGGGGCAGGAGCTCTCACTCTATTCTTCCTGTGTGTAACCACTTGAAACCCATCATCAACTGTAGAGAGGTCTGCACCCCTATCTTGTACTGGATCAGGAGAAGAAATAGAACTCTCAACCTTAGCAACCACTACTTCATGAGCTACTTCCTTTTGAGACTCTTCTATCACACCCTTCCCCTTATCCTTCAACCCAACAGGATCAACTGGATCAAGCTCCTTCATCCTATGCTGCTTAACAACCCAGACCTTCTTCGTCTTCCCTCCAGGATTAGAACAGTCATGGCCAAATAATTGACACTTCTCACATTTGCTTGGGATATGACAGACTCCACATCAACAAACATCTCTGGGCAATCATGAGGAGTAATGCTTAGCTTATTCACCAAATTAGTTTTTACTGAAATTTCAACACACAACTTCGCAACCCCCAACCGTCCCTCGCTTCATAGGAAAATCTACACAAAGAGGACGACCCAAAGAACTAGCAATTCGCCCTAATCCCTCCTTGGACGCCATCTCAGACGGCAGATTCGAAAGCTTAACCCAAACCGGAACTAGCGAATTATCAATGGCAAGAGGTTGGATACCTAGCTCCCTTTGCGCAGAAACAACATATTCTCACGATGATGCCACGGGCCTCCTTCGAAAACCGAGCGGCAGACTTCTGCAGTCGGGAATTAAAAAAGAACCAGCCGCTCCCCTAACCACGAAACCCGAATAGCTCCATCTTGTCCACAAATCCAGCTCGCCCAAAAGTGAATGGAGGAGAGGGATGTTGGTCGATCAAGAAATTGGCCGACTCAGTAGTGAACCCATCGCTTGGAGCCCTCCTCGAGAACCGATTTGGGAATTCGCAGCGATCCGTTGATAAACTCCGGCTCATAATAATCCAGCTTTAGGTCCGGATTAAATGAAAAAAGCGACGCCCAAGTGCGCCCGTCACCGACGGCACCTGAGGAGGCTCCGCCGGTGACGGTCGCCATTTTTTATCCTAAGCCGAACCTTAGAACGAGCAGAGAGAAGAGAGAGAAAAGAGAGAAGAATCCACTAAAACCCTTTTTCTCGGACGGTATTTTGGTAATAATTGTTAACTATTAGTTATCAATTTATGATGATAAATATTTTATGTGAATTAACCCTTTTTGACATACTAATTTATTTGGTATTGATGATTTTCATTGTTCTCATATATTTTATTTAAATCGCTATAAAACACTAATTGTACTACGGTTGGATCATTCTATTTGCAAAACAAGTGTATTGACATAAACATATTTGAAATTTTTTTCTTTGTTATACTTCACTTACTTTACAAATCGTTACATTGTTAATCATCAGCCGTCAGTCTTCGTCATACCCAATTAACAGCGCCAGATTTTTTATGACGTGGCAAACGAAAATGGTGAACGGGCTAATAGAAATACTGAGTCACACAAGTTGACCGCCTAGTCAACCTCAATACCCAAAACAATTGAACAAATTAAAACCCATTATTTTGAATTTCCTTTAGTGTTTTTATTTATATTGAGATAAAATTAAAAAGTTTTTACTGCTGCCAGCCTTTACAATTCCACACCCGCATATCTATAAAAAAAAAAAAAAAAAAATTCCACACCCGCATCAGATCCTGGTAGGATTATGTTGTTAACTGCTGTCAACCACTCCTCCGTGACTCCTCGATCAACTTTTTTTTTTGGAAACCATCAACCATGATCGCGAGTCAAAATATCATGCAGTTCTTGTATATCATTTAGAACTAGAATAATTAAGTACTACAAGAGCTAGTTGCTCCCAACATCCCATCCCTTCATATGAAAACCGACTTGTATGCATTTTAAATTTGTACAGATCCATATATCATGTGCTTATAGGGATAGCAATGGGTCGGGTCGGGGACTGATAGTTCATATCCGTTACCCTACCAAAAGTAGTTCGGGTTTTATCCATACTCACATAAGAAACAGGTAGAAAATCAAAATCATGTTCATACCCGTTCGGGCTTCGGGTATCCACGATTATCCATGCAGGGTAATAGTTTCTGTTTATAACTCCAACCAATATGTCAATATTTACATGTATTCTCACATTACGTAAGACAAAAAGTATAACATTAATTCACTAAAATGAAGAAAATTCATTAAAACAACACAATTTCATTATATGTACAAGACTTGAAGCCCGTCACTTCGGCTTCCACTAACTGCACTAAGCCACTAACCCATTACCTCTTGATTCATGCTAACTAGCTAAAACCAGCCAAATACTCTAATAACATAACATCTTGACTTCCAAGTTTCCATAACACATGAAACTCGGATTGGACTTATTTGACACAGAATAGAACTAACTTTAAAGACTAAGCACAGAGACTCAAAACGATACTGTCTGACTCAAACGATTAAATAACGTTCAAATGATATTCCTTCGCGCTAAGACCCACTTCTCAAGCTCAACCAAGGATTCAATCCTCAACTTCGGCAGCTTCAACAATACGATCAGGTCATTGTGATTCGAACAGAAGATTTTTCGATCACAGAAGACTCTAACCCCATGTCAAGAACTAGTTAATCGTAATAACTCGCGTTATTGAAACACACCGGAATCAAAGAAAGTATACGGTTGAAGGACTAATTGGCGAAAACTCGCACCCATGCAGCATGTAAATACGGCGTTCCGCCGTGTAGCTTCCCGTAAACCCCGTCGTCATTGACAGTCCATTTTACGGTTTCTGGAGAAGTCCTTTGGTCGTATGCCACGAAAGAAGCGCGCCGATCTTCGAATGCAAGTTTGCACCAGAAAAGCGTCCCTCCGAATAAATTCGGCGAGAATTGCCAATGGATGCGATACCCGACGGCCACCGCGAAGCCGCCTAAATCGTCGTCTCCGGATTGACAATGCACAATCACTGCCTTGCCGTCGGTTACGTTATTGGCGACGTAAACTATTTCCTGGACGGAAGGTCGCGGAGCGAAGATGATCATTGCCGTCGCTAAAGATACCGCTGTTACCAATGCTCTTGTGGTGACCATATGTGGTCGCTAAATGGTGATATATGAGTATTTGTATATTTTCATGGTCGTTGCTGTTGGGGTTTTTATAGTGCTCGATCGATATGATACTCTGCTTCTTGTTAGCTGACGAGAGTTGTTGTTTTTCGGCATATGGTGATGCCGTATAGACCCTTCGCACGTCGGAGGCTTTGATTTTGGGGAAGTACGTGGGAAAAAAGAGTTGCCGGTGAAGCAAACTGTTTCTGACTTTTACGCTCTTCGCCGGCGATGCCGAGTCGTTCCTGGCCAACTCTTTTTTCAGAAGATATCTAGAGATCAGTGGGAGCTAGGTGGAGAGAACAGGGGAACTCTATAACTTTCATCCATCATCAATACAATAAATTATACATTTTCTCGAATTATATAGGTAAGAAATTGTAGTGAAAATTGTTCACGTATACTATTTTCTTGCAAAACAAGTAAATATTTAAAATCTCAAAAATCATGCAAAACATATGTAAGCGTCCTAGCCGACAGAATTCACTGTCTCTTCTTAAGAAATCTTATTCCCCTCTAGTACCCAATATTATGGAATGATTCCTCCCAGGATAGAGACTAGAGACGATGTACTTTTTCCGGCGTAGCGGTACCTCAAACCCCGAAAACCATCAACTGCAACGAACCGATGAGAACCACACTTGACTCGATTTTCTCTTTGAAAAGAATGCAGAAAACTAGTTTTGGATTTTAGCAAAGTTTTGGTACCGGGAAAAATGTATATCAAAACCAGAGGAGGTTAGGTACTATTTATAGAAACTCATATTACCGATTACTAACATATTACATCAAATAGATCAAATTCGCGGTCACGCCTTCCCACAGCTAACCAACATGGTACTTGAAGTGATTCTCTTGGATCTTTCCCCTTTCATTTTCATTCACACCATTAAAAATCCCAACAATCCCCCACATAAAATGGAGAATGTTGTACTTTGAAAATTATGCAAAAAATCGCGTGATTCTCGACTACGAATTAGTTGCATTGGGATAGGTAGGTTTCCCTTTGAATCTTTCTTAGTAAACATATATCGAGTATACTCACTGATTAGTAGATGTGATATCTTTGAACCGTCGGTTTTGCTTGTATACTAAGACATCATATGTCACACAACTAACTCTTATCCGTTCGCTAGTTCTCATTGTTATGTTCATTTTAGCCATGAACACCAGCAAGTCTCATGAGTGCTTAGAGAACTGGCCTTCTTTTATGCTCCTTAAAGCAACTCCACTTCACACTCGCATAGGTGATTTCTAAAGGTGTATTCCGAAAATACACTATTTGACCACACCATGTGTCAAATTTAGAAACCCTTAAAACCCTTTCATATTTAGGTTTGCCCTTATTTTGGACATTGTCTCATCATGAGAATGGATTTTGAATAAGTTGACAATGTCGGCCCATCATTCACAACTTTGTATGCTCCTTAAACCTAGAGGTTCGGCCTGCCAATCCTACTTAGGTAGAGTTACCGCCATGATGATTTGTCCTAGGCCACGATGATTGAGTACATAAACCAAAAATTTATTAAAATAAATCTTAATTGATAACCTTTTAAAAAAAATTCAGTTGATACAATGTATCAAATTATAAGATAATTAAATAATCCAACCAACGGGTCGGGTCCATGCTATTAACATTAAAATAGTGATACAATATCTTGCAATGATGATAAATTGATTATACAATGACATGCCATGGTGTCACGATCTTACCATGGTGTCACGATCATAACTAATGTATTCATTCTATGTATATGTTTTCAAAATTTTGAGTCAAAATGATTAACAATGACTCGCATAGGAGGATTGTGTTACTTCATTTTCAGTACATGCGTTATGAGCGTTTTAGATGGTTGTTGATTCCAGTTTAGAATCAAGATATTATGAATTTTCTCGTGCTCATATTACCTAGGGTAAAATTAAAAAATATTAGAATTTATGAAGATTTGTCTTGCAATAAAGTTTAGCGCATTTCACACCACATACGTTAGCTAAAGTGGTTTCCCTAGGGAGGGCAACGACTCAGATTTCTCAGGTGTATATCCGTAAAAAAATTTGGTGACATACTTTGTTGGGTGCTAGAAAGTAAATCATATCCAATGGACACACATGTAATGCAGATGTAATCGCGAATAATATTTTTCAAATCCTCACATTCCTATTCAACATTCTTCTTGCAATTAAATTGACGAAAGACACATAACATGCACAAATTGTGTACACATCACTAATATTCCACACCAAACATCCTCTAATATTAGAAAATGTATCCACAGATTAGTATGTTTAGTGTTTTTCAAACCGATCTTGTTTGTATGCGGATAGAGTGCTTATCGAGCCGTGTATTAGCCGAATCTCGATATTGGTCAGACTCGAAAGATCCAAATTCGAGTTTTACCCGAATCCAATCCAAAACCCATCGACACACTACAAGAAAAAACTATTTTTGCAACCAATATTAATTGGTCTTAAATGTCAGAAATTGGTCATTATTATTTTTTCACAACTACAAAATTTTGGCAACAGAATTGGTCGCTATTGCTGCATTACGAATACCTAACGCAACCAAAATAGTGATTGGCAAGGAAAAGAAAAGCTGTCGCAACTAATTTGTCAATGGTAAAACCCCTTGATTTTCCGTGATCATTTTAATTTGGTTGTCATAGTCCATAATAATGCATGGTTGAGAAAGGTAGGCGATTGCCTGAATTGATTCGAATGAGAGACGCCCACAAATTCCGTCACCACTACCAACCCTACTAATTACTCAATAATAACTTTACATACTCATAATCTCGATAAGCTACATAAACAATTGATACCAAAACTCTCCTTATCTGACAACCTCCACCCTTCAACCTTTACCGTGAATCAAAGACACAAACTTAACTTATATTCACAGCATCTGATCAAATTTGATTTGCCTCCACGTACCCGCACAAAACGTGAGGCTATCACGCACCCGTGTCCCATAAACCCCGTCATCACGGACATCCCAGTTCCTACTATAATTATCTGCGTCCCCCCAGTCGTACGAGACGAAAGTAAGACGCTTATCTTGGACAGCGAGGTCGCACCAGAAATGTGTTCCGACTTTCCCCCGAAACTGCCAACCGATATCCTCGCCGATGGGTATGGCATGGGTGCCAAGATCATCGTCTTTCGACTTGCAATGCGCTATCAGTATCTTGCTGCTCAGCTTGTTGGTGACATGGATCTCCTCCTGGATCGCCGGTCGTGCCATCATTATGATTACCATGATGGCCAGAGCTACCGCCGACGCAGCTGGCTGACTGATGATCATGGTGATGATGTATTAGAAACTATTTTCACGACACCACAAAAGTTTCCACCGCGAAAAGAAGTACTTTAAGAGTATGGGTCTTGAGGGTTTATGTATAGTTTTTTTTAGTAATATATACGAGTCTTAGTAGAGGTGGGATCGATGGTGCCTTCTCTGACCAGCTTTTGCTCTCGAGAGAGACGTACGTACGGCTCTTGTTCCTTTGGATTTGGCCTTTTCTGCAAATAATTTAGTTGTCTTTTTGGCTCATCATACTTGGGCATATTCTCGATTGCCGTTGTTTGCAGATGCGATGTTTCTGCTTGAACTTTTAATTAATGGGTTAACAGAAAGACTAGATTGCTATTTTTATAACATAAAAGCAGAAGCTCCAATTTAGAGCTTCTGAGAAAAGCTGTTTTGAAAATACAAGATTATGCTTACCATATATCAATTTAAAAATAAAATAAATGATAAAATCATATTATTTAATATAAAAGAAGTCTAATAAGATCCATTTTGACTACATTTTATTGTTTAGAATTATTATTGTTAGTTTATAGGGTATTGTCTATTTTTTATCCAAACTTTTTTCTGATTCTTTTTTATTATCCAAACCTCTTAAAATGCTATTAATTACTCAAATATTTTATAATACATCAAAATATTTTCCATTTCTATCGTTAATAATTTTATAACTCTTTTCTTTGTTAAAATACAAAAGTTTTAGAATGTTTACTTACATGTGTCTCTTCAAGTCAGCATCATATTGTCAAGTTAATATTACCAACAAAATTGCTAACTAAAAGTTAACATTTGGTTAATTCTTAGTTTTCAATAGGCTTAGACAATATAAAAGAATCTGAATAAGGTTCGGATAAAATATCCTAATTTGACGGTGAACTTACCACTCACATTTCGTGTCCAGCAAATAATATAAGTTTCTAGAAAATCTTAGAGCGAATGACAAGAATTGCTTGCTGTTCTTCTTTTGTAAATATCAGTTCCAGTAACTCTCTTCTCCAAACTCTTGCTTGGCTTTATGTTAACTACTTATGCAAGCTGGTAGAAGAAACTAATTGTGACTTGAATTTGTTATCTGAAAATATGGGCAGTCATTGTATGGGCATGTACGCTGTTGCATTTTTGCTTGTTTTTGCCTCTGAGCCTATAACTGATGAGTATTCAGGGATGGTGGGATCCTAGTTAGCTAGGATGACATGTCCTGTTCTTTACTCCAAATTGCAGCTAAAGCAAAATGCCTTCAGATCTAGTTAGTCTACTAAATATATGCATCCACTAAAGTCGAGTTGAGCACATTCTTTGAATATTGGGAATCTGACCAGCTCAAGTTCATTTAGAAAGTAGAAATGATCACTCAGTGTAAAGCTCATTTTGACGGGTAACATAGGTTCATACTACTTGGTTCCTTGCATTTGTACAACTGTACTTATCGATTTGGCTCTAAAACAAAACTATTGTGTGTTTTCTTTTGGGCGGGGCTAAAAGTGAAGGCTGGTTCTGAAACTGAGAGGTGGATGAAATGTTGGGAGCATACTGGGCATATGCTTGCAGTGCATACTGTGCATGAGTTAGCTATGACGTGAAAATCTATCTAAAATATCTTGCTGAGGTGCAACAGTATCTTCCCAAGGTGATCCAATGGCAAGGTGAGCCAGTGATCACCCTTCAGTTGCATGATTTATGTTTAATCTTGGCATTTATCCAGGTGTTAGCCATTTTTCTTGGAATATTTCCGTGTTCATTAAGTTTGTAATGAGTACAAATTGTTTGCCTCCAACCATATGTATTAGGGCGCTGACCTAGGGTCCTGAATGATCTTTCTTGAAGTCCATTGATATCTCAAAGTATGGTTTTGTAGTCGAACATGGCTAATGGATCGTTCCACTTTGTAATTGCATGCTTTCCTCAAGCCTCTCTGACTGAGTTAATATATGAGAAATATAGTCTACATATGGTTAGAGGTTTTGTCCATAGTACTCATCTAAACAACTTAGAAATTGTATATTGTTGAGTCTCCTAATACTTATTGAGTTTTGACTGTGAGCTTACAATCCTATTCAACATAATCTCCACTATTGCAATTAAGCATCGAATGATAACTAAATACTCATTCCAAATTGAAATCAAATGAGTAAAATACTATTATATGGTTTGATTTTCTTTAAGGTTGCCAGTTATTCTGTAACTTCCAAATCTTGATAAGTGCAAACCTTTTTCGACAGGTTTCTCAATACTTCAGAGGCACTTTTGAAGTTCATGAAGCTCCTTCTCATAGAATTGACCACATCGTTTTATTAGGTAGCTCCATTTTTTTTTGGTAGGAATTAGTTAGCTCCATTTAGTCACTCTGGAACAAGGACAAAATTCTTGATGGAACTGGTCAGAGACAGAACGCTGATCTGGTTTGAGAAAGGATATTGGAAGAGGACGAGAGGATAAAAAAGTTTCGATGATACTTCGGGTAGCATTATAATTTATAATAATACAATATCGACAATTATCAATAAATTGTCTTTACTTGTTGGAGTGCTTGTATAGTGTTGCTTCTCATTAATTGTATCCTCATTATATTAAAATGGGCCAATATGCAGGTATAATAAAATGCCTTCACAAGCATCAAATATATAGTATATAAAATTGTTTAAATAATATTTGTAAATGTCGCCAATAAATTATATAGTGCTTTTTTGTGTCAACATAAATGTCGGAAATTGAGATACCGAGACTTTTATGTGTCACAATTTGGTTGAATTTAATAATGATAATTAATTTTTTAATTTTAAGCGATGCTAGAAAATTAAGGTGATGGTTATAAAAGTCGATATAAAGATATGTAGCAACATTGAAACATGTCGGAATACATGTCGAAAAATGTGGATGCCAACATTTTTAGTAAATGTCGTAAAGTTTTTTAGAGACAATTTGATATGTCGTAAAATGTAGATATGGATTGTTTATTGTAAATGTCGCAAGATTCTACAGTCACATTTTCATATGTCAAAATAAAATGTCGGAAGATATATGTACCAACACTTTTTGTAAATGTCGCATGGTTCTACAGTCACATTTTCATATGTCGAAATAAAATGTTGAAAGATATATGTACCAACACTTTTTGTAAATGTCGTAAGGTTTCATAGTAACATTTTCATATGTCAAAATAAAACGTCGGAAGATATATGTACCGACATTTTCTGTAGAGGTCGCAAGGTTCTATAGTCACATTTTCATATGTCGAAATGAAATGTCGGAAGATATATGTGCCAATATTTTCTGTAGATGTCGCAAGGTTCTATAGTCACATTTTCATATGTCGAAATACATGTCGGATAATGTAGGTACCGACATTTTTTGTAGATGTCGCAGTAACTTTACGCGACAAAATAAAAAACGACATTTCGATACAATTAGCCATCATTTTTTATAAATCTCGGCGCAAAACTAAACCGACATTTTGACATCTTTAAGCGACATTTGAAAATAACGCCATAAGCTGAGAGGCGGGCGGAGTTAGTGTGTACTAAAGCAGAGGGAGGATTGGGTTTCAGTTCAGCAATCACGATATGGTGCACCACTTGGAATTTGGAAAAAGTTTCTTCATTCTCATCCAACGCCCTATAAAAGTGTTCTTTTAAATTAAAAGCTCAGATCTATTAGAGTAATAGATAGTGGATTATGGGACCCACGATTTGAAAAAGTAGCTGACATGTGGAACATTTATTTTTAACAAAATATAACTTATACATACTATTTACAAGTGGTATATGTATATTCTTGTTGAACAAAAATCTGATTTGTATTGAACAAAATACTTATTTGTACTGAGCAAAAGTTATATTTCTACTGAACAAATATACACATTCGTATTAAACAAAAAATGATATTTGCATTGAATAGAAAACATATTCCATATGTGTGATTTTTATATTCGTAATTTTCACAACTCTTATTCAAAATAATATACCACGCATTAAAAACCATATTCTTACTAAATACAAAACATATTGCTACTGATCACAAAACATATTTGTATAAAATAGAAATCATATTCAGCATTTTCAATAACTTGTATTCCCTACTCTCTCTTCTGTCAGCTCCCTTTTCAGTCCGCGGGCCCCAAAAATAATTTTTTGTCAGTTGCTTAAATGGATCATTTTTATGAACCGTTGGATTGGAGATAAAAAAGCGTTCTCCAATATCCAAGTAGTGGACGATATCTGAATTCGGGTTTCAGAGATCTGCATGATTTTAACGCTGCTTTGCTTGCAAAATAGCTTTGGCGGCTCCACCAACGTCCTTTTTGTTTAGTAACGTCCTTCTTGTTTAGTGCGCACATCATGCGAGCTAATTAATAGATGTCGCAGTGGGATATCAGTCAAGTTTCATATGGCGCATGAGTAAATAAAATTTGTTGTGCGACGAGCTGAGGTGGCGGATTGGTGATGGGGCTGATGTAAACATTTGGGGAGATAGGTGGTTCCCACTAGATCCTTATTTTATCATGGATATACCCATGGTGCTGGAACCTGGAAGTGGGAGATAGAGTTGGAGAACTCATCGATCTGGAGCAAGAACAATGGGACGTTTTGGAGGCATGCTTTGATGACACCACTATTCAAGCCATTAGCCATATATACCTTTGAGAGGTAATGGGAACAGGGACATGCAGCTAATCTCGGATGCAAATGAGAAGGGTGAGTATTAGGCTAGTTATTTGGTCGGGATTGTTTGGTTTTACTCGAAACCGGATCGTATAATCTAGATCGGGGCAGGATAGCAAACAATTCAATTTCATATTCGGGCTTAGATTTGAGGTAAAAAAAACCGTTTGGGACCGGATTCAAAACCGGATAAAGACCGAACAAGAGACCCCAACACCCAAAACTTAAGCAACTCCTCGCCCTTTGAGGCCTCAGCCAACTCAAATCCCCACAAGGTCAATCTAAAATCAAAACCAAATTGGGACCGGACCGGGTCAAGATCGGACTGTATCCAATCAAATCTTTGCTACTTATATTCCAAAAAAAAACCGGACTGGGACCGGATCAATTCGGGTCAATTTAACCGGACCGGACCGTATAGCCAATCCTAGTGAGTATACTGTGAAGGAGAGCTACACCCAATGGCTGAAGGGATTTAAAACTCACTATAGTAGCGAGGCGCAGGAGACATGTATGGAACAAAAGGTACAACTTGAAGTTGTACCTTTAATATTATGGTACATCTTCAGGTTGTACCTATACTCGTTTGTACAAATCTCTTTATGGTACAACCTGAATTTATACATTTATGTTATGATACAATTTGAAGTTGACCATAACATAATGTTACAAATTCTCTTATGGTATAACCTGAACTTGTACCTTTAACGTCATGGTACAAGTTCAAGTTGTATGATCAATATAATGACATTTTCATATATTCAGGCTAAACCGATCTAAAATAGTCAGACTATTAACTCTCAACCCACTTACTCGACCAGACCAAGAGTCTAATTAAAACCGGACTGACAACCTATTTTTTTGTTGATAATGACGATGATCTTTTATTGCAATATGAAAACCAACACAGAAAACTATACAAGGATAAGCAAAGGAGATCAAAAGGACTGATCCCCAATACGAAACAAAAAAGAAAGGAAACAAAAGAAAAGAAAACGGAAACGGGAAACATGGACGAAGAAAAGCGAACCAGACCGCTCCTACTCGTCACAAAAATACAAGAAGGCCCCAAATGAAGCCCACACACAAAACAACAAACCAGTTCACAAGAGGACCAAAGAGACACCAATATCCAGCAGGCCAAGTGCATACCACAACCAAGATCACCGCAGTCAGAAAACAGCAAACCGCGGGTTGACAACCTTGAATCTTATAAATTTAAATTTGATTCCACGCAGCCATAAAAAATGTGACTCCATCACTCACCCGTATCCCATAAACCCCTTCATCACGGACATCCCAGTTCTGACTATACTTACTTGTGTCGAACCAATCGTACGAGTCGAAAGTAAGACGCTTACCTTTGATCGCGAGGTCGCACCAAAAATATGTTCCGACTGTGACCCCGAACTCCCAACTGATTTGCTCACCGATGGGGATGGCATGGGCGCCAAGATCGTCGTCTTTCGAGTGGCAATGCGCTATCAGTATCTCGTTGCTCAGCCTGTTGGTAACATGAATCTTCTCCTGGATCGTTGGTCGTGCCATGGTGATGATTACCATGATGGTCAGCACTACCCCTGCCCCTGGCTGACTGATGAACATCATGATGTATCAGTATTGTTTGCACGACACCGCTAAAGTTTCCACCGCGAAAACAGGTACTTTAGAGTAAGGTCTTTAAGGGTGTATTTATAGTTTTTTTTTTAGTAATGTGAGTCTTAGTGGAGGTGGGATCGATGGTGCCTTCTACGGCCAACTTTTGCTCTTGAGAGAGACGTACGGCTCTTGTTCCTCTTAGTTGTCTTTTTTACTCATGATACTTGGGCATTTTCTCCTTTGCCGGACGGACAGGGTTTCCGATTTCCGGGCGCTTCCGTCGTTTGCAGATTTGCTGTTTTTAACTTCAATAGGTTTACAGGAAGACTGGATTATATTGCTATGTGTATGATAATCGATTGTAAAACTAATAAGATAAACTTCATCAGTTATATTAATCACTAATTTACGATAACTACAATGGCATCACACGTCTGTAATATGTTACTTCTAAATTCTTTTTATCTTTTCACTTAATCGTCCCGGCCATTGTAGCACATGTGTCGCCCAAGGCATAAGAAGCATGATGACTTGACGTCATCCTCAACTTCCTCCAGCTTATCAGCAGCAATCTGTCAGCAAAATCACTATTATGATGAATTTAGAAGGAATCTTATAACATAAACACAAATTTTATGATTACAAGTAAACTACATTGTTATAATATGACTTGAATTTGATTTGGGTTTATTTTGTATTTTGGGCCTATTTTGTTTGGGTTTGGGATTGGGTTTTGTTTTGACATTTTCCTTGTATGTTTGGGAAAAGATGTTTGGTTTTCTGTTTGGGATTAGGAGAAGAGTTCTATAAATACTCTTCATCACCCTAGTCTGTAGTAAACGTCAGTCAGATTAGTTTGTTTGGTTTGTCCGTTTGAAATTTGGTTTATAACCTGTACTCTTCTCAAATTAGTGAAATTTGTTCTCCCCTGCCCATGGATTAGCTAGCACACATTGTGTTAGTGAACCACGTTAAATTTGTGTTCGTTCGTGTTGGTTTGGATTATCGATTGCCACGCTTCTGTTCTGACAAGTGGTATCAGAGCCGCGGTTGATCTTTGGGTTATTTGAAACTGTCTTGGCGGATTTTGGTTCGCGCTCCTGGTCGATTGGCTGGGCAATCGGCTAGGGATTTTGGTGACTGTTGCGGTATCAGGGGGCAGTCTTCGATTTGGTTGGCGGAGAAGCCTTTAGTTTTTCTTCCTCCAAATTTGGTTTGCGATGGTTCGTGATCTTTTGTCCCAATTTGGATTTGTGCGGGGGTCGATCTGAGGAAATTTGAATTTGGTGTTTGGTGAGAATTTGGTGGTTATTTGGTTAGAGTTTTTCGATCATCAAGATGTTTGTTCTAGATTTGAAGATCGAGAAGTCAATTTGGAGTTGCAGGTTTGGAGTTGGAAGTAAATCTGATGTTGGTGTTATCGATGGAAATAGCACCAAGTTGGTTATGCATGGCAAGTCCCAACATGGGTTGGACTTGCTGCATATTTTGATTTGTTAACCGCCCTTAGGGGCATTTGAAGGCAGAGGAGATTCTGGTACAGCTGATTTAGAGGAGTTTGGTATGTCTAGCAATCTTGATTGCATCTGAGTTTGGCGATTTGCATCGCGTTCGAGTTTGGTGATTTCGATCACATCTGGTACATCTGGGAACTTTGGTTGCGACTGGGTACATTTGGCAACCTTGGTTGTGTCTGGTACATCTGGTATTTGAGAGAGAATTCAAGTCAAGGTGGAGATTGTTAGAATATGACTTGAATTTGATTTGGGTTTGTTTTGTGTTTTGGGCCTATTTTGTTTGGGTTTGGGATTGGGTTTTGTTTTGACATTTTCCTTGTATGTTTGACAAAAGATGTTTGGTTTTCTGTTTGGGATTAGGAGAAGAGTTCTATAAATACTCTTCATCACCCTAGTCTGTAGTAAATGTCAGTCAGGTTAGTTTGTTTGGTTTGTCCGTTTGAAATTTGGTTTGTAACCTGTACTCTTCTCAAATTAGTGAAATTTGTTCTCCCCTGCCTGTGGATTAGCTAGCACACATTGTGTTAGTGAACCACGTTAAATTTGTGTACGTTCGTGTTGGTTTGGATTATCGATTGCCACGCTTCTTTTCTAACATGCATCAATCTAGCTGAAGCAAAATAGATACAATATATTATACACTCTCTCAAATTAGACTACATCATTTTTAATTTTCTCCACTGTTAAGCATCCACGTCGGCTATGATTTTTCACGTCACTTTTATTACTTGGATTTTTTAAACTCAACACTAATTAAAATTAAAAAATCATATTAATAAGCGTTACTAGGATGCAAACATAAATTCTATAAGGTTTAGATTTATTAGACGGTAAAGTTTCTAACAATCAAGATAAAATCTAGACAATATATAATGGAGATTCATGATCATGAGTATGTTTTTCTCCATTTGAATTTTGCTGCTCTGAGAGCATTTCTCGTCAGGGTGACTTAGTAATTTCACTCACTTTAAATTAAACGTTGCGTTCCAATTTATTAGCCCTCTTTTTTCATTTGATGTTTTATTCCGCCTTTGCTTCTTCTTTATCCCGTGGAATGAACTTTGCCTTTTCAAACACACGCTACAATTTAATTTTGTAACTCATTCATGTTTTTCTAGCAGTATTTAGTATGTATAATTTTTTTTCAAAAAATCATGTATGTACAGATTTTTAACGAATAATCATATCGTACCGGTGGTTCGACAAGAAAATTTTCTATCGGATCTAATATGGTAGGGGCATTTGGTGGTATGAGTTGTTCAATTACGGTTAAACCACAAGTCGAATAATTTTTTAGAAGCTTTCGCTAGAGGGTTATTTTATCACTTACTTTTCTGATACAACCTCTGGTACGATTTTACAATCCTTAGTTTTTTCCACAATATTATTTATATTTTATATTTTATTTTGGAATTTTTTAAAAACAAATCATATTCTTCAAAACTACATTCATTTTCATCTACAAAATATATAAAGACAAAGCATGGATTGGAATTATCCCATTTTAAATTTCGTGGCCTGAGAGGGATTCTAAAAAAGTCAATTTTGTCATTGCACCCAAATCATCTTTATATATTAAAAATGTTATCATTGGAATTCAAACCTTGATCACTTAATAAATGAAGAAAGAACATTATAACCAACTAGGCTACATTGTATTTATTTTTAATTCTTTGATTAAACTCTAGAAATACGCTTGGTGATGAAGCTTCTATATTTATATTTTATCTTAAGTTACTAGCATTTTGCCCGGCCAAATTGGCCGGAGTTTATTTCTTCAAATTTTTAGTTTATCAAATAAACCATTTGTTATTTCGTAGCCCGCTCTACTATAATACTTGTACGTTTTATAGGAGTAACGCCTTAAAACTGACACAATCCATGGATACTCTCCCGAATCCGACCTAATTGTGTAAAAAAAAATCTACTATTCAAATAATTTTCTGCCCGTGTGGGTAAAAACCGAATCTGAATATGGTGGGCAATGGGGTGGACATGGTTTTATCTCTATCCAACCCAAACCCGTCTGATTACACATGTAATATGTATATGTATTTTATCCGTAAATGGTTATCATTTTTCTCATCATATTTTATATTTATTTTATATATGGGTCAGATTGATGTACTTTATACTCCAAGTATTTATAGTGAGATATATTTATCTAGACCATGAATTAAACCGAGTTTGGGTTATGATACTATACCCTAACCTCTAATGGATAAACCCCAAACTCTGATTCTCTAAACTCGAATCCAAAGTTTAATTTTAATATAAAATAATAATTGACCTTGAGATTGGTCGGAGCTCATCGAAGTACATCTAACGGTCAGATCACCTGAGTATACCAGTCATTCCCATGTCAGTCATTACCAAATATATAATATTTTCATGAAACTGTGCTCTCTTTAACTAATTTTCTTCTAATTAGTGGTTTATTGTTGTACTCTTTCACTTATATAATCTCAGTATACAGTGTAATCGCTAGCATACTTGTGAAGTTATGAAGAAAAATTATTACATATGGATGACCATAGACATAGCAATCTTATCTAGTGTTGGCATGATTTTGATTTTCCAGATGATTAGTATGGGTAAAAATAAATGTGTTGTTCAAGATCAAATAACAACACAACTCACTGGTCAAATATCTCATATGGCCCTGGATATTGGAGGTAATTAACCTTATGAGAAATTTGAATATTTTGTTCTTTTGCATTGGGTCTTCATTTGGTATTGTTCTACTCTTCTTGAGCTGTGTATACCATTTTAGATACTATCTGAGTTCTTCCAAGTTTTTTTTGGTCCCCAATTTTCCCTGGCTCCACTATTATCAGTTGGGCCAAATTTGTTTGTTTCTGTGTTAAATACTTAATGCAGTACAAATCTGTTTAGGATTTGGAAATGTAATAATAGGGACCAGGGACAATTTTCACTGTCAGCTTCGCTTTATCTTATAGTGAGATTACTTAATAGTATAAAAATAGTGGGCTTAACTAACCAGCCCAATAAATGACCAAGTCCAAGTGAGGCTCGGATCTTACGTATTTTGCCAAAACTACCCCTCCGTAAAAGAAGGCATGCTTCTTGGTGGCTGAGCTGGCAAAGCTCCAATTAGCACTCCTGCATATATATATGTGTTTTGATTGGGAATGGATCGTGTCAGTAACTGATGGGTGAGTAACCCATCAGTAACCCATTCTCTGATCTCCACGTGTCAGTCCACTTTTTTATTTAAATTAAATGCGGAAGGGCAGTAAGGTAAAATGCACTTATCCCCTATTTATTGCTGACGCACTGACGCGCTGACTTTTGACCGACCACATCAGGACCTCCTTCTCTCTCATCGGAAAACCTTTAATTTTCCTTCTCTTAATCTTTAACGGACGATTTCTCACTCGTTTTAAGTCGAAATTTAATTTTTTTTTGCACAGTTAGATCAGATTAATTATGCTCTTCAAAATGATATCCACTTTGATATTTTTTTGACACAAAATTTTTTTCCAGTTATTACCAGTCTATACCATATGGTATAGTGTGGTAAT